AAAAGCAGTGCTGAAGTCAAGAGAGTGGAGCTCGTAGTCATGCTAAGCAGCGTCGTGCAGCAGAACCCGAAGAGTGGTCATCTTCGGGGTAGGGGAGAAGGTCTGAAAGAAGTCAACTCCCTCACGCTGACTGAAGCCTCGTGCAACGTAACGCGCCTTGAAGACAGGCGGAGAAACCGGCGGCCGCTTCACCCTGAAAATCCACATGCCACTGACGATGTTCGCCCCAGGCGGGGGAACCTCGTCGACGTAGGTGCCTGTGGACTTCCAGGAAGCCATCTCTGCGTCCATAGCTGACTGCCACTTAGAGGAGTAGGGACCCTCTATCGCCTCTGCGTAAGAGCGCGGGGTCGGGATGTCTGGTGCATCCGGGTCTCCCTCAGGGGCAATCAGCATGGACACGAGATGAGGTAAAGCAGCAGCAAAGCACTCAAACTCCTACTGTCTGTCCTCAAGGACGTCCGTGCCAAGTGCACACTCACCCCCGACGGACGGAGGACAGACAGACTCAGACTCAGCAACAAGGCTAGCGGCGTAGTCTAGACGACAGGCGGCAGCAAAGTCAACAAGCTCAGCGACTAGAGCAGACGCAGCAGTGGACTCAAAGGTAGGGTCAGTGACAACAGTGGCGAGGAAACGCGTGACAGTAGGACTGGCAGCACGAAGAGAGTCAAACTCCGGGTCAGCAAGAGAAGGAAGAGAGGACGCTGGAGGAGACGGCAGAGAGACACGCTGTGGAGCAGTGGAAGGACGCAGAGTCATATAGTGAGTGCCAGGGACAGGAGGAGGACGCTCATGCGGAACACGATGACCAGTGCGGGCAGCACGGACAGGAGACTCTGGACGAGACTCAGGCGACGTAGGACGAGACTCAGGCGACGCAGGACGAGACTCAGGCTCACGACGCTCCGTAAGACCTTCAGTCGGCCCAGCATAAGGAGAAGGACTGGGCAGCGGAGAGGCAGGCTGTAACTGTGACTGCGACTGGACAGGCGGTGGACTCAGTAGGGGAGGAGTAGGGCCAGTAGGGGGCGGGAGGCCAAGAACCTGCTGAAGGAGCGGAACGTAGTACGGCCGCGGCCGCGCAGCTACTCCTGAGCCAGCAGAGACAGCACCAGCTCCCTCAGCTCCAGGGTCTCCAGCTACAACTCCCGCAGCACCACCAGCAGCTCCAGCAGCTCCAGAACCTCCAGCAGCTCCAGCACCAGCAGCACCTCCAGAAGCACCAGCGGCACCTCCAGCAGCTCCAGCACCAGCAGCACCTCCAGCAGCACCACCAGCAGCTCCAGAACCTCCAGCAGCTCCAGCTCCAGCAGCACCTCCAGAAGCTCCAGCACCAGCAGCACCTCCAGCAGCACCACCAGCAGCTCCAGAACCTCCAGCAGCTCCAGCACCAGCAGCACCTCCAGCAGCTCCAGCACCAGCAGCACCTCCAGTAGCTCCAGCACCAGCAGTACCTCCAGCAGTACCACCAACAGCTCTTGCACCAGTAGCACCAGCTCCAGGGTCCTCAGCACCAGCAGCACCACTCCGGAGACTGCAGCGCCGAGCGTACCACTCTCGGAGCCGCTGAGGAGAGGGCCGCTCCCGCCTAGGCGGGGAACCACGAGCACCAGCTGCAGCAGCACCCCTAGCCCCAGAAGCGCCCCTCCCGAGGCTGCAGTACCGCGAGTACCAAGCACGTAGCTGCTGTGAAGAGGGAGCACCTCCAGGCACCTCACGGTCAGTCGCAGCACCCCCAGGCTCAGTACCCTCAGACACAGCACTCTCAGGCTCAGCACCCCCAGACTCAGCACCCTCAGGCTCAGCACCCCCAGGCTCCGCACCCGCAGACTCAGCACCCCCAGGCTCCGTACGCTCAGGCTCAGCACCCCCAGGCTCCGCACCCCCAGGCTCCGCACGCTCAGGCTCAGCACCCCTAGCAGGACGAGAGTCGACAGCTACCTCGACAGGCTCAACCGGGTCTACCTGGGACACACCTGAGGGAGCGGCACCCTGAGGGGGGAGGGGGTCTACCACAGCAGCACCTGGTGCGAGGAAGAGAGGCGGGGGGGGGGAGCGGGGCAGTGCGGTAGGGGAAGAGGCGGTAGTAGGGGACCGACTCGTCGAAAGTGACGTCCTGAGAGGGCAGGACACGGTGCGAGGTGGCGTGGTAAAACTGCCAACCAGACGCGTCCGGGACAAAGCCAAGGAAGACACAAGGAACAGCGCGGGAGGAGAGCTTGTCCGCGGACGTATCGTGGACAAAAGCACGAAATCCCCAGACCCGGAACACCGACGCATCGCCAACCTCTCCCGTCCAACGCAGTGTCGGCGAAGTCTCCGGAACGGAGACACGGGGCCAGAGGTTGAGCTGATGCGCAGCGTATCGGACCGCAAACGGCCACAGAAAGTGGGGGGCAGCCGCATGGATCAAGGAGGTACGAGCGACCTCCATGACCAAGCCAATGCGGCGCTCAGCAACCCCATTCTGCTGTGGAGAGGCCGGAAGCGTGAACGACTGCTCAATCCTCTCCCCCTGACAGAAGGCCCTCAAGAGGTCGGAGGAAAACTCCCCACCTCTATCAGAGTGCAGACGCAGGACAGGAAAGTCCGAGTGGAACCTCTCGCTAAGCTGGAGACGGGCAGCGCGGATCCAAGGGATCAAAACATCAGGGACTTCAACCTTGGTGTGCAAGGGGAAGACCGTGGTGTAGCGCGAGTAGTCGTCAACAACTATCAATAAGTACCTCTCGTGACCCTGTCCACGGACGCGGGCTGGGCCCCACACGTCCACGTGGAGGGTCTGCAGGGGAGCAGTCGTCGGGGGAAACGAGGAGGAGTGAGGAGCGGCGCGCTGCCGCCCCTCGACACAGGGAAGACAGGGAGGAGCAGGCGAGGGTGGGAGGGGAGGGAGAACCCTGGGAAGACCAAAGACAAGGTACCGGGAGTGCATGCCATGAAGGCGCTGCACTGACGGGTGACCAAGGCGGTGGTGCCAGAGGACGGTCTCGTACGACAGGGAGCGACACGAGCAGGGGGCGGACAACTGACCTGACGCAGACGCAGACGGCGCTACCTGAGGGGACTCAGTGGTCAGTGTGTACAAGTCCGACCCCGGCTGCCGAGTGAAGGTAGCCAGGTGACGACCCGTCTGGGCACACGTGCAGTGTGTCACACGCTCGTAGGCAGGGGTGAACTGGTGAACACCCGCGTCCTGGAGCGCGGAACCCGCCACCAAGTTCGTAGAGAACGAGGGGAGGTAAAGGCCCGACAGTGTGCCGGACGGGACAGCAGGACAAGGGAGGGCAGTGGTGGAGGTCGCAAGGATCGGACCCCCGGAGGGGTCAGCCAGGGAGACAGCAACCGGTCTAGGGAGCTGCTCTAGGGCAGTGCGGTCGCGAAAGAAACAGCGAGAAGCACCTGAGTCCACTGTGAAGGTGTGCAGTGCCTCAGTCGACGCAGTACCTGAAGGCGCAGACTCACAAGCACCTGAAGCAGCAGACACACCTGCGCCTAGAGCAGCAGCCTCACCAGGACCCGGGGCAGCAGACGTACTAGCACCTAGAGCGGCAGCCTCACCGGCACCTGGAGCAGCAGACTGGATACCGGGGTCAGGCGGCACACACAGGTGACAGGCTCCCTCGGCACTAGTAGACAATGCATACATTGCAGTGAGAATAGCATCATAGTCAAGAGCAAAGATATCTACCCTCTGTCTAAGCAGCTCCACCCAGTCGGGGAGCTCAGCGTCGTCGCCAAACTCTGTACGCCAGGCGTCGCTCAGACGGGCGAAGCAGCGAGACTCTGTGTGACTAGGCGTCCCGCAAGGCTGACCAGTCCGGACACTCGTGCTAATAACGTACGGGCAGCGAGCAGGACTCAGCGACCCTCTACTCTGAGCGTACCACTCACAAAGCTGCTGGGGCGAACGAGTCTCGCGCAGACGACGCTGCTGCTGCACCAGGCCACTACAAGAAGCTCCCGAACTACCCACTCCAGGACGACTCCCACTACTGCCACCCCGACAACCCCAACTGGCGTACCACACACGAAGCTGCTGGGGCATGAGGGACACACGCGGAAGGCCCTAGGGCTGCATCTGGCCACGCCAGGAGCAGCAGTAGAAGCAGCAGCAGCAGTAGTAGCGGCAAGAGCAGCAGTAGCAGTAACAGCAGCGCGGGCAGGGCAGTGCTCACTAGTAATGGGAAGGGCAGGCGCACGACGGAGGCGACTGCGGGGCCGCTACAGCGGCAGGGCGGGGCCGCGACCGCGGCAGGGAGCTCCGCAGCAGCTGCTGCAGGGCGGGGCCAGGGCCACGACGGTCGCTGCTGCAAGGGCGGCTGCTGCAGGGGCGGCTGCTCCAAGGGCCAGGGGCGGCTGCTGCAGTGGCGGCTGCTCCAGGGGCGGCTGCTCCAGAGGCCAGGGGCGGCTCCTGCAGTGGCGGCTGCTCCAGTAACCAGGGGCGGCTGCTGTAGAGGCGGCCGCTCCTGGGGCCAGGGGCGGCTGCAGGTGCGGCTGCTCCAGGGGCCAGGGGCGGCTCCTGCAGTGGCGGCTGCTCCAGGGGCCAGGGGCGGCTGCTCCAGGGGCGGCTGCTCCAGGGACCAGGCGCGGGGTAGGGCAGGGCGACGTGGCGGACAGGGGCGACGCCGCGGGCAGGGGCGACGCGGCGGGCAGGGCGACGCGGCGGGCAGGGGCGACGCGGCGGGCAGGGCGACGCGGCGGGCAGGGCGACGCGGCGGGCACGGGCGACGCCGCGCGGGCCCCGCAGGAGTGTGGCGACGAGCGGGGGGGGCGACGCCCGGGTCCCGCTGGGGCGGCGCGACGCGCAGGAGCCGCGCCTCGCGGGTCCCGCAGGGGCGTCGCGAAGAGGCGAGGGCGACGCGCGGGTCCCGCAGGGGCGTCGTGACGAGGCGGGAAGGGGACGCGCGGGTCCAGCAGGGGCGTCGTGACGAGGCGGGGAGGGGACGCGCCAGCGTGATAGGCGCCAGCGTGATAGGCACCAGCCAGCGCGATAAGTGCTAGCCAGCGGGATAGGCGCCATTGCGATAGGCACCAGATTGATAGGCGCCAGCAATAGGCGCCAGCCAGCGCGATAGGCGCCAGCCAGCGCGATAGGCGCCAGCCAGCGCGATAGGCACTAGCAGCGAGATAGGCGCCAGATCGATAGGCGCCAGCGCAAACGGCGCCAGCCAGCGCGATAGGCGCCACCCAGAGCGATAGGCGCCAGCCAGCGCGATAGGCGCCAGCCAGCGCGATAGGCGCCAGCCAGAGCGATAGGCGCCAGCCAGCGCGATAGGCGCCAGCCAGCGCGATAGGCGCCAGCCAGAGCGATAGGCGCCAACCAGAGCGATAGGCGCCAGCCAGCGCGATAGGCGCCAGCCAGCGCGATAGGCGCCAACCAGCGCGATAGGCGCCAGCCAGCGCGATAGGCGCCAGCGCGATAGGCACCAGATCGATAGGCGCCAGCTAGCGCGATAAGCGCCAGCCAGAGCGATAGGCGCCAGCCAGCACGATAGGCGCCAGCGAGCACGATAGGCGCCAGCCAGCGCGATAGGCGCCAACCAGCGCGATAGGCGCCAGCCAGCGCGATAGGCGCCAGCCAGTGCGATAGGCGCCAGCCAGCGCGATAGGCGCCAGCCAGCGCGATAGCGAATAGCAGCGGGATAGGCGCCAGCGTGATAGGCACCAGATCGATAGGCGCCAGCGCAATAGGCGCCAGCCAGCGCGATAGGCGCCAGCCAGAGCGATAGGCGCCGGCCAGCGCGATAGGCGCCGGCCAGCGTGATAGGCGCCAGCCAGCGTGATAGGCGCCAGCCAGCGCGATAGGCGCCAGCCAACGCGATAGGCGCCAGCGCGATAGGCACCAGATCGATAGGCACCAGCGCAATAGGCACCAGCCAGCGCGATAGGCGCCAGCCAGAGCGATAGGCGCCAGCCAACGCGATAGGCGCCAGCCAGCGCGATAGGCGCCAGCCAGCGCGAAAGGCGCCAGCCAGCGCGATACCCGCTAGCAGCGGGATCGGCGCCAGCGTGAGAGGCACCAGATCGATAGGTGCCAGCGCAATAGGCGCCATCCAGCGCGATAGGCGCCAGCCAGAGCGATAGGCGCCGGCCAGCGCGATAGGCGCCGGCCAGCGCGATAGGCGCCAGCCAGCGCGATAGGCGCCAGCCGGCGCGATAGGCGCCAGCCAGCGCGATAGGCTCCAGCCAGCGCGATAAGCGCCAGCGTGATAGGCGCCAGCGTGATAGGCACCAGCCAGCGCGATAGGTGCTAGCCAGCGGGATAGGCGCCATTGCGATAGGCACCAGATTGATAGGCGCCAGCAATAGGCGCCAGCCAGCGCGATAGGCGCCAGCCAGCGCGATAGGCGCCAGCCAGCGCGATAGGCACTAGCAGCGAGATAGGCGCCAGATCGATAGGCGCCAGCGCAAACGGCGCCAGCCAGCGCGATAGGCGCCACCCAGAGCGATAGGCGCCAGCCAGCGCGATAGGCGCCAGCCAGCGCGATAGGCGCCAGCCAGAGCGATAGGCGCCAGCCAGCGCGATAGGCGCCAGCCAGCGCGATAGGCGCCAGCCAGAGCGATAGGCGCCAACCAGAGCGATAGGCGCCAGCCAGCGCGATAGGCGCCAGCCAGCGCGATAGGCGCCAACCAGCGCGATAGGCGCCAGCCAGCGCGATAGGCGCCAGCGCGATAGGCACCAGATCGATAGGCGCCAGCTAGCGCGATAAGCGCCAGCCAGAGCGATAGGCGCCAGCCAGCACGATAGGCGCCAGCGAGCACGATAGGCGCCAGCCAGCGCGATAGGCGCCAACCAGCGCGATAGGCGCCAGCCAGCGCGATAGGCGCCAGCCAGTGCGATAGGCGCCAGCCAGCGCGATAGGCGCCAGCCAGCGCGATAGCGAATAGCAGCGGGATAGGCGCCAGCGTGATAGGCACCAGATCGATAGGCGCCAGCGCAATAGGCGCCAGCCAGCGCGATAGGCGCCAGCCAGAGCGATAGGCGCCGGCCAGCGCGATAGGCGCCGGCCAGCGTGATAGGCGCCAGCCAGCGTGATAGGCGCCAGCCAGCGCGATAGGCGCCAGCCAACGCGATAGGCGCCAGCGCGATAGGCACCAGATCGATAGGCACCAGCGCAATAGGCGCCAGCCAGCGCGATAGGCGCCAGCCAGAGCGATAGGCGCCAGCCAACGCGATAGGCGCCAGCCAGCGCGATAGGCGCCAGCCAGCGCGATAGGCGCCAGCCAGCGCGATAGGCGCCGGCCAGCGCGATAGGCGCCAGCCAGCGCGATAGGCGCCAGCCAGCGCGATAGGCGCCAGCGCGATAGGCACCAGATCGATAGGCGCCAGCCGCGATAGGCGCCAGCCAGAGCGATAGGCGCCAGCCAGCGCGATAGGCGCCAGCCAGCGCGATAGGCGCCAGCCATCGCGATAGGCGTCAGCCAGCGCGATAGGCGCCAGCCAGCGCGATAGGCGCCAGCCAGCGCGATAGGCGCTCGCGCGTAAGGCGCCAGCGTGTTAGGTGCCAACGCGATAGGCGCTAGCCAGCGCAATAGGCGCTAGCCAGCGCAATAGGCGCTAGCCAGCGCAATAGGCGCCAGCCAGCGGGATTGGCGCCAGCGCGATAGGCGCCAGCGTTCTAGGCGCTTGCGGGTTAGGCGCCTGTGCGTTTGGCGCCAGCGCGCTAGGCGCCAGCGCGTTAGGCGCCAGTGCTCTAGGCGCCTGCGCATTAGGCGCCAACGCGCTAGGCGCCAGCACTCTAAGCGCCAGCGCGTTAGGCGCCAGCGTGCTAGGTGCCAGCGCGCTAGGCACCAGCGCGCTAGGCGCCAGTGCGCTAGGCGCCAGCGTGATAGGCGCCAGCGCGTTTGGCGCCAGCGCGCTAGGCGCCAACGCGCTGAACGTCAGCGCGCTTGGCGTCAGCGCGCTTGGCGCCAGCGCGTTTGGCGCCAGCGCGCTACGCCAGCGCGCTAAGCGCCAGCGCGCTTTGCGCCAGCGCGTTTGGCGCCAGCGCGCTAGGCGCTAGCGTGCTTGGCGCCCGCGCGCTAGGCGCCAGCGCGCTAAGCGCCAGCGCGATAGGCGCCAGCGCTCCTGCGTGCTCGCTCCCGTGCGCACACACTCCCATACACTCCCTCTCTCCCCTTCTTAAAATGGAGGCACAATGCTAATAGAAGACTAATTGGCACAGAGAACTAACAAGGAAAGTGGAAAATATAGGACATTCCGGAGGGAGAAGGAAACGCACCTGAGACAAAGGTGCCTACGAAAACAACGCGCGGTCGTGCAGCACCCCGCGCTCGTGCTCGTGCACCCACCAAAGGCGACAGCGGGAAGGGAGAAGGAGGCGACAACGAGGAGGAAGGGAGTGACGGCGGGGAGTGAGGAGAGGCGACGGCCGGGAGTGAGGGAGAGGTGATGGCAGAGTGGAAATGGCGACGGGGTTGGGAAGGTATTTGGGGAGGGAGAGTTCTTGAATTCAAGAAACGGGACTCCCAAGAAGGGAGCAGAGTTGACAACCAGAAAGGGAGGGATTGGGTTTGTGTAGCGCTGGCAAGAAAAATCCCTGCCAACCAGGCACGAACCAGTTTTTACAATCAAAATACACCAGAATTCGGTTATACACTCCAAAATATCAAGAAAGTCGAATATGACAAATGCCTGGTGTGGAAAAAACAAACAAAAACAGTGGGGTGAATTGCTAACTAGTTGGGCATATGATATATACATAGAAAAAAACACGAAGACACAATATTTGGATCCTAGCATTTTCTCATGTATTTATATATATATTTAAAAAAAACTGCTACGCAACCCTTCCGACGTTAACGTCGAATCTTGTTTGCCCTATTTTCTGTTTGTAACCAGGCCCTCAGATTGGGTTTGGGGCACCCTGATTCGTCAGTATTGGTTCCTGGAAAAAAATGTCTGTCAGGGTCGGATACAAAAAAACCCTGAAAAATCAGTGTTACTGTTAAAAAAAAAAAAAATCCTATCGGTGTTAGTACGGATAAAAAAAAAATTGATTAGTGTTGCTTCATTTTTATAGGCTGATTCAACCAGTGTTCCAAGAACGTTGCGTTGCTTGTTTGCATTGCATAGCATGCATTCAATCACACAAGGATTCAAACTCGCTACGACACCTAATACCACAAATCATCCTCAGCATCACTATCCGCCTTAGCATCATCATCCAAGTCAAGCAGGTTGGCCTGGTCTCCTCCAGCCTCTACCTCCTCCTTCCCCCTCCGCCTCCTGTCATCTTCCTGCCTGGCTATGGTGCATGTGTTGAACGGCTTTATTTTCTTGTAGTTCCGTCAGATCTCTACGATCTCGTCCCAGTTGGGCTCGTATTTGAGCAAGGACATGCATAGCAAGTCGCCGAGCCGAGCGTCCTTGAGGCTCCCTCGCTGCCACGACTTGATGATGTTATGGCGCGAGAAACCCCGCTCGCACTCAACGGTACTCAGTGGCAAGACCGCCACCGCCACCCAGAGCCGCACCTTGCCCGTCCTTGGTCTTGAGCATGGCGGTGAGACCCGTGTGGAAGCCGCGCTCACTCTTCGGAGCACCAGCAAGGAATGGAATGAGCAGCCGCAGCTCCTTGACGACTTTCTTCTTCTCGATGCCTGCAACCAGAATGGAAACACGCATAGATACAGGATAGACACAAAGCATTGAACCATGATATAAACAAGGCATTGAAACAAGGCATTGAATCAGGATTGAAAAAGGACCGTAACAAGATAGAAACAGGACAGAACCAGGATAGAAACATGACAGTAGCATGATAGAAACTGGTTTGAAGCAAAGCATTGATACAGGACAGAAACAGGATAGAAACATGATAGAAACAGGATAGAAACATGATAGCGGCAAGGCATTTAATCAGGATAGGAACAGGATCAACATGCAATATCATAGGTCTCACCAGGTAAGATATCGTCGCTCTCATCTGCCCTGAAGAGAGTGATCAGCGACTCCAGCCACTCCTGACACTTTGCATGGCGCTCATGCCTGCCATGCGACCAGTGGTCGGGAGTGAACAAGCGCACACCCGACAGCTTGTCCAGGTCCCCCAACCGATCCAGGAGGTTGGCAACGATGAGCTCCGCGAACTCGGTGCAGATGTCTAGGCATGGGTCGTGATGCCCGGGTCCAGGATAGTCGTCTAGCCAATCTTCGTGCAGGGTGAACGTGAAGGTAGTCGACTGCTCATCCGAGTATACACCCTCAATGCAGACATCCCGGGTGCCGTCGGGACCATGCTTCTCCAGCCATGGTGAAAGCTTGGGGCTGAGACCGCCACCGAACTCGTCCCCGCAGTCGACGTAACGAGCCTTGAGATGGCCTGTTGTCCGTCGAATCTGCGCATGCACAGCAGAGAGATCAAGCTGGGGAGGAAGCAAGGCACAAGATGGGAGAAAGGGAGATTATATTAAAAAGTAGACGGACAGGACAAGGAAACAGGGATGTACACAGATCGAGGCTTGACCAGTGAGCACCACAAACGCACCCCTCATCGCTGGAACGTCCTGCTCAAGACGTTCATCTGGTCAAGGACGTCGGAAAGGAAGAAGAGGAGGAAGTGAAACCTGTACGATGTCACCACGGTGTAGAGCTGCTCGTTCCACTCCTTGAGCATCGTGATGACTGCAGGCAGGACCGCCACAAACCTGGCGACGTCGTCCCCACGAGATAACCACCGGATGTTGTGTATTCCCTGCAGCTCCAGGAACGTCTCGGTGAACACTTCTTGGAGGTCCTTGAAGCGCTGGTGCCATGGACCAGATCTTCCCAGGTGCTCGGCGATAGCACGGATGGTGCTATCGATCATGTTGAACACGGGAAGGCTCTCTGCTGCATCCTTTGCAGCAAGTGCCTCACTGCAAATACAAGCAAGCGGTGGGCAATGCAGTGACAAGATATGAGAAACCACAGAAGACATGTAAACGTAAGAACGCAAATAGATGAGACAACCACTGCTGATACAAGCTATACAAGACGAAGTGACAGCCACTGCAATATATGAGAAACACAGCTGCTATGTTAACATATAAATGCAATCAACACATGTCTTAAAACATGGACCACATACCAGTAGGCAATGCAGTGACAAGACACGAGGTCGGGAACGCGCAGACGGAGCCGTGCCACCAAGCACGACTTCAGGCCCATCATCACGGAAGCCCCGTCCGTGCTGATGCCCGCGATTTGCTGAAGATCTATGCCGCAGGACTGCAAGTGGGAGAGCAGCAACTGCAACAAGGAAGCAACATCTGCCTTGTCGACTGTCAACAACGCCATGAATTCCGCCACGACGCGAGAGTTGCAGATGAAGGTGGCGAATAGGATCATGTGCTTGCCTCTGCAGCGGTCGGTGCTCTCGTTACAGGAGATGCCGATGTACGGGCTGGCGAGGATGATCTCGAGCTGTGTTGTCTACAGCCAGGTTGCTGTAGACTGGGCCAGCTCGCCAAAGCCGTACCTGACATAGAACAAGCAGAGATACATTGGACATTAAACATCGAACAGGAGCAAACATTGAACAGGAGCAAAAGTTGAACAGAAGCAAACGTTGAACAGAAGCACATATTGAATAGAAGCAAACATTGAACAGAAACAAACATTGAACAGAAGATTACATTGAACAGAAGCAAACATTGAACCAAAAAACAAGCATTGAACAGAAGCAAACATCGAACAAAAGGGAGGGAACTTACGATGTGTAGTAGGTGCCATATCTGTCAGATTTATATGACTTAGCTGCTGTAGGCTATAGTGGGGTAGCACATATGGGGTACAGCTTTCTAGGGTTTGTACTTGTACCCAACTTTCCCTTAGTCATTTCATTCCTCGTTCATTTTCACATGGTATAGAGCAGGTTCCCCTGTGGGAACTGTTCCTAGGGCCCACCAACTTTTTTTTTTTTCCTGCCCGGAGCGCGCTCAGCCTCTGCCCGAGTCGCGCTCCCCTCTCACGGCCCCGTCGCGCCGCCCTTACGACCCCGTCGCGCCGCCTCAGCGGCCCCGTCGCGTTGCGCCTTCCTAGCGGCCCGGTCGCGTCGCCCTTGCGACCCCGTCGCGCCGCCCTCGCGGTCCCGTCGCGTCGCGCCGCCCTCGCGGCCCTTTCGCGCCGCCCTCGCGGCCCTTTCGCGCCGCCCTCGCGGCCTCCTCGAGCCGCCCTCGCGACCCCTCCACGCCGCCCTCGCGGCCCCGTCGCCTACCCTTGCGGCCCCGGCGCCACCCTTCCCGGCCCCGGCACCGCCCTTCTCGGCCCCGGCGCCGCCCTTCCCGGCCCCGGCGCCGCCTCTGCTGGCCCCGTCGACCCACCCTTGCGACCCCGCGGCCCCACCCTTAAGGCGCCGGTCGCCACCCTTCGTGGCCCCGCCGCCGCCCTCAGCGGCCTCGTCGCCGCCCCACCCGGCCCCGCCGCCGTCCCCACGCGGCCCCGCCGTCACCACCGAGCCGCCGGCGCCGCCGAGCCGCCGATCTACCGAGCCGCCGCTGCTGCCGAGCCGCCCGAGCCACCCGAGCCGCCCGAGCCGCCGAGCCACCTGAGCCACCCGAGCTGCCGAATCGCCGAGCCGCCGAGCTCCAGTTGCTGCCGAGCCGCCGTGCCGCCGAGCCGCCCGAGCCGCCCGAGCCGCCGAGTCGCCGAGCCGCCGAGCTGCAGTTGCTGCCGAGCCGCCGAGCTACCGAGCCGCCCGAGCCGCCCTGTCCGGTAAGAGCGGCACCTCTACCACTGCGCTGCCCTTACCCTACTGCTCCAGCTGCTAGTCTACTGCTGTCATGGCTACCCCCAGTGTCCTCGCTTTTGACGCTGAGGGTCGGGCCATTGACTTTGACGTCTGGGTAGATGACCTGCAGCTTTTCCTACAGTGCGACAGGGCAGACGGTCTCTCTCTCTTTGACCTCACTTCTGGTGCCTCTTCTGCCCCTGCTGCTGATGCTGACGCCACTGTTCGCTCACAGTGGGCCACACGCGACGCTGCTGCCCGTCTTGCTGTGCGCCGCCACTTGCCTACCGCTGAGCGTGCACACTTTAGTCAGTACAAGAGTGCTAAGACCTTGTACGACGCTGTAGTTGCACGCTACTCTTCCCCTGCCACTGCTGCACTTAGCCGCCTCATCCTGCCGTACCTCTTCCCTGACCTCGCCGCTTTTCCCACAGTCGCTGACCTCATTACGCACCTGCGCACTAGTGACACTCGCTACCGCGCTGCCCTTCCTCCTGAGTTCTGCGCCAAGAACCCCCCCCCTATGTACATCACCCTCTACTACGTAGTCACCCGGCTCCCTGACACCCTTCGCCCGGTCAGGGACCACTTTCTCTCTGTTTGCCCCACCACCCTCACCGTTGACCTCCTCGAGGAGCGCCTCCTAGCAGCAGAGAAGAGCATAGTCGCTGAAGGAGCCTCTCGTGGTGACCCTCGTGCCCCTGTCTTTGAGGGGTGCTCCCCCTCTCCTCTCTTGCCCTCTGTTGCCTCTGCTGCTGCGGCCGACCTCGTTGGTCTTGAGTCGGTCGGTGCGGCGTCTGCCCCTAGCGGGAGACGCCGCACTGGCAAGGGCAAGGGGGGCAGGGGCGCTGGAGGAGCTAGCGGGGGCGGTGGAGGCGGCGGTGGAGGCGGCGGAGGGGGTGGGGGTGGCGGTGGGGGTGGTGGCAGGGGTGGGGGCGTCGGTGGCGGCAGTGGAGGCGGAGGCGGCGGCGGCGGTGGCGGTGGGAGCGGAGGTGGCGGAGGTGGCGGCGGTGGAGGAGGCGGCGGCGGAGGAGGTGGAGCTGGTCGGGGTGGCGCTGCGCAGAGGGTCGGCTCCGGTGGTGGTCAGCGCCAGCAGCAGCAGCAGCAGCAGCGCACTCGTGAGATCCCCCCCCCTCAGCAGCTTCGTGAGTGGTACGCTGCACGCCAGCGGGGTGGGGGTACTGGTCCGTGCACCTACGTCCTACGCACCGGCGACTGCGCGGGTGAGCCGTGCGGGGGTGCGCACTCCACCCAGTGCTGCTTTGGCCGCCTGACGGACGCTTGGCGTCACCAGTTCCCTGAGGCCACTGAGATCCCTCGCTGGGGCGAGCTGTCTAGGGCGGGAGTAGCTATCTTTGACCTTGACTTTGATGCTATTCTTGCTGCCATGTATGCTGTGACTATTAGTGATGAGGGTGACTGTTACGGGTGTTTTCCGCCCGACCCGGGAATTGGGACTGCTGCTCTAGGTACTGGTGAGGCTGCTGCTCTAGGTGCTAGCGAGGCTGCTGCTCTAGGTGCCAGTGCGTCTGCTTCCTCAGGTGCTGGTGAGTCTGCTCTCTCAGGTACTGCGTCGGCTCCGGCCTCCCACACCTTCACTCTTGACTCGGGGGCTTCTCGCTCCTTCTTTCGAGACCGCACCACACTCACGCCGCTTGGTCGGCCAGTTGCAGTCTCTCTGGCAGACCCCTCTGGGGGTCCTGTCCTTGCTCACTTCTCCACTGTCCTCCGGTGTCCGGCGGCCCCCTCTGGCACCCTGTCTGGTCTTTACCTCCCCTCGTTCTCTACGAACTTGGTGAGTGGTGCTGACCTACAGGATGCGGGGGTTCACCAGTTCACTCCTGCGAGCCAGCGTGTGACCCACTGCACGGACGCTCGGACGGGCCGACACTTGGCCACGTTTACACGTCGGCCGGGGTCGAGCCTGTACACACTGACCACTGAGTCTCCTCCAGTCACTGCGTCTGGTCAGGTAGCTGCGTCGGGTCAGGTGTTTGCTGCAGCGTCCAGGTCTGGTCCTGAGTCTGCCCCCTGCTCGTGTCGCCTCCTGTCTCACGAGACTCTCCTCTGGCACCACCGCCTTGGTCACCCCTCCCTGCCTCGTCTCCGAGGCATGGCCTCCCGTGTCCTTGTCTCTGGTCTTCCCCGGTCCCTCCCTCCTCTTCCTCCGGGGCCTGCCCCTACCTGCGTCCCCTGTGTCGAGGGGCGGCAGCGTGCTGCCCCTCACTCCTCCCAGTTTCCTCCGACAGAGGCCCCGCTGCAGACGCTTCACATGGACGTGTGGGGCCCGGCCCGCGTCCGTGGACAGGGTCACGAGCGCTACTTCCTGCTGGTGGTTGACGACTACTCGCGTTACACCACAGTCTTCCCCTTGCGCAGCAAGGGTGATGTCACTGAGGTGTTGATCGACTGGATCCGCGCAGCTCGTCTCCAGCTCAGAGAGAGTTTCGACTCGGACTTTCCTGTTCTGCGTCTGCACTCTGACAGAGGCGGAGAGTTCTCCTCTGGCCTTCTGCGAGCCTACTGTCGTGCACGAGGCATCCGCCAGACCTTCACGCTTCCGGACTCTCCACAGCAAAATGGGATTGCTGAGCGCCGCATTGGCATGGTCATGGACGTCGCCCGTACGTCCATGATGCATGCGGCTGCCCCCCATTTTCTGTGGCTGTTTGCGGTTCGGTACGCGGCGCATCAGATCAACCTTCAGCCCAGGGTCTCCATGCCGGAGACCTCCCCAGCTTTGCTGTGGACGGGGAAGGTTGGCGATGCGTCTGCGTTCCGTGTCTGGGGATCTCGGGCGTTTGTCCGCGACTTGTCTGCGGACAAGCTGTCCCCTCGTGCTGCTCCCTGCGTCTTCCTTGGCTTCCCCCCTGACGCGCCAGGGTGGCAGTTCTACCACCCCACCTCTCGCCGTGTTCTGTCCTCCCAGGACGTCACGTTTGACGAGTCGGTCCCCTACTACCGTCTCTTCCCCTACCGCACTCCGTCCCTCCCCCCGCCTCCGCTCTTCCTTGTGCCAGGTCCCCCCCCGGTAGACCCCCTTCCCCCTCAGGGTCCTGCCCCTTCAGGTGTGTCCCAGGTAGACGCAGTCGAGCCTG